TTTTTTTTTTTTTTTTTTTTACAAAATTTTTATTATTTTTTCAGAAATAATAGCGTGTTACAAATGTACATGTGTATTTTTACATTTTTAAACATAAAAAACAACCAAACACAAACACAGGGTGATTACAAAAGTGTGAGAAAAAACAAAACAAAAAAAACCTTATTGCATAATTAGTGGAACGGCAGGTCTCCAACGTTTATTGAATATGGGTGTTTTTAGTTTCAGGGAGTATGTTATATATTCAATCTGGTATATGTCCCAGACCTTCTGGATCCATATATGTCTAAAGTTTTTGAGAAGAGATTTTGCAGCTCAGCTTTGTGATCATTTCCAAAGAATTGTTTTGGGATTAAAGGTACTGCAACCACCTGGTTTAAACCAGATTTATCTGCTTCCAGTTTGTCCAGTTTGTTCACGTAGTCAGTCACGGAGTTCCTCAGGGTTTTGTTCTTAGACCGCTTCTTTTCACTCTGTATCGGCTTCCATTGGGTAACATTATTAAAAAGCATCTATTCTAGATTTAGACTTTTCCAGTCAGTGGATTTTTATCCTGTGGGACTGAGAGCATCATAACCAGCTGTGTGACAGAACGGGTTGGCAGCTGCTCTGGTCTGTACTTAATCGTACTTAATCTACTTAATCCTCAAAATAATTAATCCTCACCCCATCTGTATTCATATCACCTAACCCATTTTGCTTCATGGTAACCTTTGCTGTAGTTCCTGTGAACGGTCTTATCCGTCTGTACGATCTATTTTTAGCACCTCAGTTCACCGTTATGTATCTGTTTCCTCTGGAAATATGTCCAAATTAATGTTGACTTTAATTTAATCTAATATTGCTTAAATTAGGGACAGGTGACTGGATGCAATGTGCTGGTTTCCTTACATTGTTTTCTGTTATCTTATCTATTTAATTGCATGTATTGTATTACAGTAAATTGGATGCTAATTAGTTTGAATTGTATCTTTGAAGGGCCTCGAGATGACATTTTCTTGATTTGGTTAAATATAAATAAAACTGAATTTGAAAGAAGTAACCGATGAGTAAGTTTCCTCTCTAGTTTGCATTTGATATTTTGTTGAAAGAGTACATTTCCACACCGTGACAACATTATTGGTTTTAAACCGGTTTCACACAGTGGGGAAAACACGCACCTGCGAAGATCCGCGTGGACGGCCAGACGTTTTCCCTTCATGGAAACTTTGGCATTAAACTTCGTTTCCTGCAGGAGAAAAACAGGCGGTTTTAGGTTTGGTCAGCAGGAATAAGTTAAAGGGGACATATTATGCAAAACCAAGTTTTTAATAATTTGATTATGTACATTTGGGACTGTGGAAGTGTGAAAGAAAAAGACTCAGTCGTGTTTTTGTGGGCCGCCTCAGTCTGAATCCAGGAGATAAATCAGGAGGTTTCAGGAGTGGGTAGTTTCTGACGTCATTAGCTCTAGCTCATTATAATATTATTATTATTATAATATTAATATTATTATATATTATCTAGCTCATTATAATATTCCAGCCTTTCACCTGCATGTTGCCCCCCCCCCTCAGCTTACTCCCCTATCTGTGGAGACGTCCTGGTAGCGTGAGCGTTAGCATGGTAGCGTTAGCATGGTAGCGTTAGCATGGTAGCAAGAGCGTTAGCATGCTAGCGTTAGCATGGTAGCATTAGCATGGTAGCGTTGGCGTGCCGACGTGGGCACACCTCCCTGAAGAAGTGGGTGGATTGCCTGTGTCTCATTTGCATTTAAAGAGACAGGCACTCCAAAGCGAGCGCTCTGAACGGGGCTGTTTTGGGTTAGGGTTAGGGTTAGGGTTAGGGTTAGGCAGGGGGACTGAACTGCTATTGGGCTTCATTCTTATGGGATTCTGACCAAAGCTTGTCACAGACATTACATTAGGACACCAGGGAACTAGCTTAACTTGTTGAAATAGGTTAGAATATGACTCCTTTAAACTGGTGGCAGTAAATCTGGTCTAACTCACTCTCACACAGATAAACTGGAATTACCTGCCATGAATCCTAAACATAAAGAGGACAGAGCTGGATATATTTATGCCGGCGTCCCTAAATATTGAGAGGCTGATCCAGTCTCCTTTAGCTGCTTGTCAATTTGTTACTAGCTTTGTTCCAGTTCACCGTTTGTGAAATTGGTCTGAACCTGGTTTGAACTGTTTCTTTTAATGAACTTTTCTTATGTTTTTTACATAGACTTAAACTTAGACTTGTACTTTATTGATCCCTTGGGAAGACTCCCTCAGGAAATTAAGGTTACCAGCAGCTTAATAATAAATAATGCCACACAGAGAGCAAAATTAAGCAAAAATAAGCAAAGAATGACAATATAAATATAGAAATACAACGTGAAAACACGTAAATACGACGCTCACCATGGTCATGCTGCTGAGCTGCACCGGTGGCTGTCCCGGAGGCAGGACCATCACCTTGACGATGGCCGTCATGACGACGGTTGCTCCAGATGTCTTGATGGTGGTTTTTGGTGGTGAGTTGACAGCAATTTGTAGAGACATCGGAGCGTCCACCAAAGCCGGGTTCTGACGGCAAATAGGAAAGTCAGAAACACCCGACCAATCAGGTTTTTCAGCCCAGGAAGGGCTTATACTCACCATCATCATGATGGTTCCAAAGTAAGTGGTCCTCAGCAACACCTCCAGATCTTTGGGCATCTGAATATCGGTACAGAGAGGACAGAATCTGTGTTTTCTTACTGAACTGAAATGGTCAGTTCAGTCACAATGTGTCTGTTTGTGTTTTACTGTTGTGTAAGATGAACCCTCCATGTTGAGTTTCAGGTTAAAGACCAGTCAGATATATCGGAGAAATATCTGTTTCCAGCCCTCCTTATGAGAACTGATTTTATGTTTTATGTCTTCACAGATTTTCAGGTGTTCTTTAGTGCAAAATGCCCTGAAACTGATTTCTGTTTTCAGACTATTGACTTTAAGTGGCGTTTGTGATTCATGAAGAACTGGGACAGCAACTGGGACATCCCATGATTTGGACCACAGGAACTCATCCACAGTTTACGCATTGACACAGTGGGGGAAATAAGTATTTGAGCCCTTGCTGATTTTGCAGGTTTGCCCACTTACAAAGAATGCAACGATCTATAACTTTAATCATATGTACATTCTAACAGTGAAAGACAGAATCCCAAAGAACATTCCTGAAAATCACATCATATGAATTTATAAAAATTGATAACCATCTGATGAGGAAAAATAAGCATTCTTTGTAAGTGCAAAATAAGCAAGGGGTCTAATACTTATTTCCCCCACTGTATCTCCATTTCAGAAACCCCTCCCTCACATATCATTTGAAACTGTACTTTTTTAAAGTTTCTAGCTTGTTGAAACAGTTCAAACAGTAATAGCTGAACCAAAGCCGACTGGGTGATGAAAGGGTGTAAGAGATGTTTGTGTTTCTGCATTTAGACGCTTTTATCCAAAGCAACTTATACAACACAATTTTACAGTTATCATCAATAAGACAATAAGTTCTCTAGAGGAAAAACCCAAGTCAGAATGATGAGATTACAGAGCTGGCAGGCAAGCAACAATCAAGTGAAGTCAATCAATTTAGTAGAGGGTCCAGAGGTAAGAATTCGGAGAGGAGATGCTCTGTGGAGAGGTTGGTCTTTAACTCATTGGCTGCCAAAGACGTCTATAGACGTCTTTTATGTTTTTCTACGAGAGTGGCTGGGGGACGATCTGCTAAAGCTTGTCCGTAAATATCGGCTTCTAGACAGAGTATGTAGTAACAAACTGACCCTCTAGGGGGCAGTGCCACTTTTGATGGGAGATGAGCATAGACTGTAGGAAAATAAGAAAAAGGTAACGGTTCTATGAGAGAACATGTCGCCGGTGAGACGCAAGTCCAGGAAGAACGGAATAAGGTAGAAACACATTTTTTTTCCTGATGAAAGAAGAGAGTCTACTCTTTCTTTTTTGTTTACATAGTCATAGCACAAACTATTCTGTGGCTCTTGAAAAATCAGTCAAAATGCTCAAAAAACTCTGGCAGTATGGGACTCTGTTCTGAAAATGGCTGCCAGTCAATGAGTTAAGAGTTTCCTAAAGACAGGAATGTGGTGGGTATAGGAGTTTTTCATGGTGTTTTTTACAGGGTTACCTTCTCATTTACGATGTCCATTTGGAAGATTCCTGCAGTGTAGTAGGAGAACATCCCGCTGTCGAAGAAGAACTCGGACAGGGCCAGATAAACCATGCGCTCGTACTCCCTAATGACCGGGTCCACGGCGTAGTTCACCAGAGTCAGATTCTGGTGGGAAAGGTCGAAGAACATCCCCTGTACACAGAAACAAACACACTAATCGAGTCGGTCCAGAGCTGGTAGAGGATCCTGTCATGTGATCTGCCCGAGTCTGACCCTGAAATGCATGTCGAGGCTCCGGGAGGACACCACCGGATCGTCGATCAGGGAGTAATCTATCCCGATATAATGATCCACCTCCGACCTCACGGGGATGGTCTCCAACAGGGAGTTCACATGGACGAGAGCGGCGTGATCCAGAGACGGGCAGATCTGGAAAACGGAGAGTTTTAGCTTTGCTTACGGAACCAAAACACAAAGGAGAAGCTCAATACTTCACAACACGGTAAAGATAAGATCATCAGTAACATTCCCATTCCTTCTGCTCAGTCATTATCATGACTTTGACTTTTCTATTTTCAAGATTTAGACGTAATTCCACTCTGTTCAGTTTAATCAAAGCATTCAAAACATGGAAAAAAAACTACAATTTATTACATTTCTACTCGAGTTCTGGCAGCTTTTCATTCTCTCTTTGCTAAACATGAAACCAGAATAATTCAGGCAGAAGGACTCTTCCTCCTAACTCGTTTGAATTACCTGTTGGTTGAGGAAGAAGCGCATGCCTGTGGTCACAAATCTGGCCAGGAAGTCGTACACCCTCCTGAAACACAGACTTTGATTAGGCCTACGTCCTTTTCTGTTATTGGCGAGTGGTTATTGAGACAGAAAGACATAAGAATGAAGAAGCTTCTGTGTTTATCTAATCTACAGTTGCAGGTTTGCCCACTTACAAAGAATGCTTATTTTTCTAAATCAGATGGTTATCGATTTTTATAAATTCATATGATGTGATTTTCTGGAATTTTCTTTGGGATTCTGTCTTTCACTGTTAGAATGTACATATGATTAAAGTTATAGATCGTTGCATTCTTTGTAAGTGGGCAAACCTGAAAAATCAGCAAGGGGTCAAATACTTATTTCCCGCACTGTATGCCACCTTGATACTTCAGAGTTGAATTAGATTTACTGACAGTTACTGTTTCTACTTGTTTATTGATGACGACATCAGTGTGTTTTACCCGAGTGTCCCGCTGAACTTTGCCCTCATCTTATCGATTTTGGCATTGCAGGTGATGTTATTGATCTTCAGCCGTCCTTCATCATCCCTGATCAGGTTCACGGCTGTGTTAATATTTACTCCATCAGCCGAGGCATTGATGTTTCCAGTGTCGTAACTAAAACACATTAATAATAATAACAACAAGAGCTGAAACCAAACAAATGCTGAAACCAAACTCAGATAAAGATCGTCTGGAATTAACCCCCCCAGTGACCTGGTACTGTAAAATTCCCATCAGAGTTGACAAATAGGAGGTTCCTGGACCTTGATTTGATCAAGCCCAGCTTAGACTGAGATCTTCAACATATCCCTGAGAACTGCTGTGTTTCCAATGTCCACCACCATCTTCCCTACCAAAGATAACCCCGAGTCCTGAGTGAGTCCCTTCCTGTTCCACTCATTACGGATTTCTCCAGAGGATTAATCATGAGGGAAGAGCTAGGTTGTACCTGCCTATGATCGATCTATCTATCTATCTATCTATCTATCTATCTATCTATCTATCTATCTATCTATCTATCTATCTATCTATCTATCTATCGATCCATCTATCCATCCATCCAACCATCCATCCATCCATCTATCTATCTATCTATCCATCTATCCATCCATCTATCTATCCATCTATCTATCCATCCATCCATCTATCTATCCATCTATCCATCCAACTATCAATCTATTTATCTGTCATTTCTCCATCCATATAGCTATCATCTATCCATCCATCCATCCATCTATCCATCCATCTATCTATCCATCTATCTATCCATCCATCCATCCATCTATCCATCTATCCATCCAACTATCAATCTATTTATCTGTCATTTCTCCATCCATCTAGCTATCATCTATCTATCCATCTATCCATCCATCTATCCATCTATCTATCTATCCATCCATCCATCCATCCATCTATCCATCTACTCCACTAAACACAGACAGATCCTCTATGGAGATCACTGAAACCGGATTCCCTGGTGTTGACCTGGTGAAGAACCACTTCCTCAGTATCAGACAAAAAAGCTGCCTCCATGTCTGGTATATATCAGAAACAGCTCCATATCAAAAACAGCAGAGTGGTGCCACCAAAGTGGATGGAAAACCACCCTTAGTGGGGCTGAACGATTAACTCATTGGCTGCCAAAGCCGTCTATAGACGTCTTTTATGTTTTTCAACGCGAGTGTCTTGGGGGACGATCTGCTAAAGCTTGTCCGTAAATATCAGGCTTCCAGACAGAGTATGTAGTAACAAATTGACCCTCTAGGGGGCAGTGCCACTTTTGATGGGAGATGAGCATAGACTGTAGGCAAATAAGAAAAAGTTAACGGTTCTATGAGAGAACATGTCGCCGGTGAGACGCAAGTCCAGG